AAGAAGAACAGGAATTGTGTAACTGCATCTGACACAAGTTTGTTCTTTTTTCTTAAGAAAATGAGAGTGAATGCAGATTTCAGTAATTTTTTTACATCTATTTCTACATAAATTACCAATTAAGAGGATCTAAGACCATATGAATATCTGAGCACTTGGTTTGAAAATTATGTTGTAGTATAGTTTAATGTATATCCATATTTATAAAAAATATTTTTTTAGTATTGTCCAAATATTTTCCAATATTTTCAAAAAATTCTGTTCAAAAAAATTTTATATATTTGAGAAGAAAAAAAAAGGAGCAGAAAATATGCGCGATAAATCGAAATGCTAAACTAAAAATAGCCACAAGAGTAACCAGACTATTGCTGAGAAAACAGACATAGACTCTTTTGCCCTCAGCAGACCCATTTCCGGCATAAACCACAGTGACTTGCAATTTGATTAGAAGGCAGACTCTACAGACTTGTTTATTTGGAAAAAAAAACCTTTTTGAAATTCTACATTTTTGTTTCTTGGTAAATAAGTTCTGTGTATTCTGTCTCCTTTGTATACTGTTGACACTGACAGTGTATTTATGTTTATCATGCATCGGGCAGACATGAATGAACTGAACTTCACAATGCTTTTGTGAAGTTAGTATTGCCTGTGTTTTACAAAGGGAAAATTTGCAGTGAGGGATGTTTGTTTGTTTTAAGAAAAAAGTGTAATGTGCTACTACTTTGAATTCATGCTGTCTGCAGAGGAGATATCACAGGTGAGTTAGCTCTGGAGAACACAACCAGGAGAAAAGAAATAAGTGTGCATCACCATTTTCTTTTAATTTGGGATTGGGCTAGATCCATCTTGTCCCACAGTGTATTCAAGCTGGAAGGAAGGGTTGCCACTAACAGTGGAATGCTATTCTTCAGGGATGCCCATGCAACATCCTACTTGTGCCATGTAAGCTTCAAGGCTTTCCATCTCCCCTTGTTCACAGATTATAGGCAGGAAAGCCAGGAAATGGTGTTTTATCCTCTGTTGCTCTTAGTTCATCAGTTTTATGAGCAGCAGGGAGAGTCCTGCTATGGTCATACTTTGACCTTGAGACACACTTTGCAGAGAATGCAGACTATACCTGCCCTTCCCCACGGCACTTATAATGTTTGAAAGGTCTCAGCCTGAACACTGGCGAGGAGAACAGCCTTCTTACACTGTGGATGAATTGAGCATCTGGTGTTGAGTGTGTGGTTTTGTGTAATGGGAGAGATCTAGAAATGGTACGTTAGTCAGATGATGGTGTGGCACCTGTGGTACGTGTTGAAGAAAAAGAGCAAAAGACAGTGTTGATTATGACAGCACAGATGTTTTCTCACTTGTTTCTGTGGTGAGGAGTGTATATGCACCCAAAGCCTGAGTGCATCTTAGCAGACAAGCAGATAATGCAGCATTTAATACCGTGAGTGTTTGAGGGTAAACATGACAGAGCCACTATACTGAGCATGAGCAAAGGTTCCTCTAACCCTCTGTGGGGTCTTTGACAGCAGCCCATAGTGGGTGTACTGATAATTTCCCAATGTATTTTCTTCCACCTTCCAAGGATCTTCAGTCCAGGGATTTTCTGACCTGCTGGTTTCACTGCTGCAGATTGTTTGGCCATACTGGACTGGCAGACCACCTTGACTTTGTATAGACCTTTGATCTCTTTTTTTAAAAGTGCTCAACTGAATATGGCCTGATTCTTATGTGGAGACTTCAGGGAGTCTTGAAGTATAAATAATAGTCCACTGGCATCCCAATGATGTTCTCTTTGAATGAAATTGAATATATGGGGTAGAATTTACTTTGATACTGTACCTGGGGAAGACAAAAAGGGTTCAAGATTGTGCTTGCTAGATGCATGCCTGAGAAGTGCATACAAATAAGTAAGTTTTCAGGCCAGACTTCTTTACTGAGATTCTGCTGAAAATAGTCCAAGCTATTAATTTTTTTTTCCAGAGATTCGCTGCAGCTCTGAAAGGGAGGGAGACGAGCAGCCAAGAGAGGGAAGAGAAGGGAGGCTGACTGGTCCAAATAGGGAGATCTGCAATAGGCATGCTGTGTTGACATAGCTTTTTACGGCCTGACTCTGCCCGAGTGTCTGGCTATGATTTTCACACTGACCTTTCCTTATTCTGGGTATGAGTTCTCGTTGGACTGAAAATACGACTGTGTGCTCAAAGCAGTGAATTATCTTAAAGGACATTTTCTTTTCTGTTTGTCCCCCTTTTGGTGTCTGCTGTACTGTTATTCTGTTTTTCACTTGTTATCTTCACTTTAACCTTTCCACTGTAGTTCTTTCCTTGAAGCAACATGAAATGATTACAATATTACTTAATAACAGCAAATTTTGAGAGATTGCCTTTATTGGTACAGGTCAGTTGAGAAAAAAAATCTTGGTCATGAGCTGCACAGGTGTGTGGCAAGGTAAGATAGATGCTGTCATAACTCTGGCTGACCTTGGAGCAGCTCTTTCCTAAAGGTTAAGGTTAAGCAGCAGTCACTTCATGCTTTCAGGTCTGCTATGTGAGTTTGGAGAAACCTGGTTGAAATCCTCATGTAAGAAGCTGAAGTAAGTTGTGTAATTGCAGTATATCCTTCTACTTCAAGGCTCAAGGGTTCTCTTTTGAAGTGTTGCATTTTTAAGCTTTTATTTCTAAAGCATTCTCATTTGCAGATTGTGTTCCAAAGCAAAGGTCAGGGTATTGCATAGCACTGGGTCAAAGTGCCCAGGGTAGACCAGTGCATTTCCATTTTAACATATTGGAGAAATTATGTGCCTGCAATAAATGTTGCAGCAGCAGAATCAACATATAGACAACCATATCAACATAATCAACAACCATAGACAGCAGAAGTGTTAAAAAAAAAAAATCCACTACCTTGGTACAGAAACAGTGTATTCACACCTTGGTACTGCTTTTGGTAGAAAGGATATCTCAGCTCGTCTGTGCTGTGGTTGCTTTGGTTTGGATTCTTTTTTTCTTGATGATGCATTGCACTCTTTCCTGACCTAGTTACAACTCACATGGCTGGGCAGGGTGCCAGTATAGCCAAAAAGGGAAACTGCATGTGGTCTGCTTAGAACCAGCCAGGAGAGAAGTGGGGACAGGAGCACTGCTGGTAAAGCCTGCCTGCAGCTGTGTGTTGGGATAGCAGCTTTACTTGCCACACAGACATGAAAGCACAGCATGGTCCGTCCTAGCTTTGTTTTTAAGGATGTTGCACCATTTCACTATGGGAGAAACAAGAGAGATTGTGTAGTAAGGAAGGGATTGCCAAAGCAGCTGCTTTATAAGGGGAAAAAGTGACATGGACTCAATGGTGCTGATAAGGGTCAGGTACCACTGAGCTTCAGTGATCTGGTAGGAAGGACTGAGTGTTAATGAGGAGAAAAGGAACATCCAGAGTGAGCATGGTTATTGCAAGAATGGTTTGACAGAGGTTAAAACTGTTATTACAAAGCTGTAATGCAAAGGACTTCCAGCCTTTGGGCCAGACCCAACCCTGTCTTCATCACAGGCAGCCCACAGCTGCATAAAGCCCTCCCTCTGATCCTCTCCAACATCCCTTCTTTCTTTTCCCTATTCCAGTCTTCACCCTCTTCTGCTACTCTCTGCAAGAGCTTTTCCATGCTGTCTGCCACAACCTGCACTACCCCCTGTGCACCTTTTTGCCTCCCACTGGGAAGTGAAAAAGCCAGAGGTGGAAAGGAGGGACTGCAGAAACAAGGAAGGAGAACAACTAAGGAATCCAGAGTTTCATGGCAAAGGAACTAGTGTGCCAAGAGAATTCCAGGAAAAACAGGCTGGGAAGATGTCATGGTGCAGAGAATGTGTGGAAGTTAGGGTGTGAGAGTTTGTGCCTAAGGAAGCACTGCTCAGTGTGGAGTCCACGTGCGGTATGATATCCCTTGTGTTGACAGGAGGTCTAGTCATCTGGCAATATGAGCTCTGTTATCAGAAGTAAGATACAAAGATACATATATATAGGACATTCAGACCATGTACCTAATATTAGATAGAAGACAGATGAAAATACTGCTTTATTACAGAAATTGTAGGTGAACACTAAAGGACTGTCTGTGAAGACCTTCTCCCAGATAGAAAATACAAAAAAACCCCACAAAAAACCCCAAACACACATGAAACCCAGCATGAAGATTGAAATATCTATGTTTTTAATCCAGCAATTCTCATGAAATGAATGAGCTGAACTAAAATCTATAATATCTTTGAAACAAAGCTCATAAATGCTTTTTGCTGGTCTCAGACCAGCCAGGATTGGGGCAATGCACTGAATCATGACAAACTCACTCAAGTTTGTTGAAGGGGGAGCATTGCCAAGAGCAAATGCCACTGCACTGTCTGCAAGCTCCCAATTTATTGCCACTTGTTTACATAGGTTCATTTTTACTTCTACATCCTGCCAACCTTCAGGTTTTGTCTGTTTATTGCTCACGTGCTCACCATGCTCTGCAGGTGTTTCTTCCTGCTGTTTCTCACACTCACAATGTGCTGTTCTGTAATGTTGCCTCTGTTATCCACAATCATTCTTCTACTCTCAAGGTCAGTTTACATTTTGCTAACTACCAATTTTTCATTCTCACAGCTTTTGTTAACAAACACCTTTCATGGAAAACCAACAGGCCAGAGGTTTGATGAATGTCTCCAAACCATCTGGAGTCATGAAGTCCAAGTTAGTTTTATGTCATAAAGAACAGAGTTTTGTCTCATTGTTTCTTATGCCTTTTGAAGATCTGCACAGTTAATTCAGTTACCAGCTTTGTCTTAGAATCAGCTTTGACCAGGAAAAGCAGGAAACACTGAAGTCTCAAGATTAAGATAGGTTGGCCTAAAGCCAATCACAGTGTCTTTACTAATGGGATTGTATTTCCTCTTTCATGCAGGCTACCTACCTCAGTATTTACAAAACAGAACAAAACAAAAGCTGTAAATAGTTGCCAGATTTTCTAGGCAGTGTCATAGCGGGTACATGCTTGTTACATCTGCATTATTTGAGGCAGTAAAAGTTCTAGAGCCCTCCTCTTCAGGGTTTTGCCATGATTTAGTCATAACTTGCCGTTTGACGCATCTTGAATTTTTAATAATTTTCTGTAAGTTCCTCCTGAATTTCACCCCCATGAAGAAATACAGAACAGGGTTAAGACAGCCATGGAAATAAGCAAGAGCTTCTGTTACAATGATTGCATATTCAAAGCTGCTGTTCAAGTTAAAGCTCCAGTCTATGATCTTTATCAGTCTCAAGAAAGTATAGGGTGACTGAGTAAGAATAAATACGACAACTACAGAAAATATTTTTTTTAGAGATTTGTTCTTTTGAAAACTTCTGGCATGCAGTAAGGTTCTAATAATTAGTGAGTAGCAAATGGTCATGGCTAGCATGGGAATAAAATAGCCAAGGGTCACTTGGATCACTTCAAGAACCATCTCTGTTTGATGGTTTGGGTATTCTTCCTGACATATTGCCTTATCAATACTAAACACCTCACTAAAAATAAACTGCGGTGTGGCAAATGCTAGTGATATCACCCAGATCAAGACACAGATTAATTTGCCCCATGTCATTCGTTTGGTTTGACACATATGTGCTTTGGTGGCGAAAGTAATAGCAATAAGCCGGTCAATGGTGATAGAAGTTAGAGTTAACATTGAAGTGTACAGGTTCAGAGTATACAAGCCCCGTATAATACGACATGTCACAGTGCCAAAAGTCCAGTCCTGAGCAGCAGAATATGCCCAGAATGGCAGCGTCCAAAGGAAGACCCAGTCAGCTATAGCCAAGTTCAGCAAAAATACATCTGTCAGCATCTTCAGTTTCTCATAGAAAACTAGTATGACAAAGACCAGCGCGTTTCCTGCTAACCCAAGGATGAAAACAGCTGAGTACATACAGGGCAGGAAGACTCTTGTAAATATGTGAAAATTCTCACTTCCATTTTCGTTGGCATCAATCATGGAGAAGTTATAGTAAAAGTTGGCAACATCTGTGGTTGCCATATTGCCTTCTTTTTAAAGGCAGCCTGTAAGGAGACACATTGAGATCTTTTTAGTCAGCAAATAATTAAATCCTAATGCATCCAGGAGACAGACAAAATCCTAAGTGCTATCAGATAAGAGTTGTAGTAAAGCATCCATGACAGGAAAAAACGAATATATTTATTTGCCAAAGAGGATTGTCTTGACAGTTAAGACCCAAACACAACAGCTGGTGGATTTAAATACATCATCTGTTCCTAGATCTATACTAATGGGGACTCAAAAGCATAAGACAATTACAAAGAGGTTTCTGGAAACAGAATATGGATTAAGCTTTCAAATACATCAGTGGTTTAAGTGTTTAGATCAAAGGTTTCTGGGGAAACTCATGAGAGAAGCAGAATTTGTTTTGCCAAATTCAGCCTTTAGGCTCAGGTTGCAGGCTCTAAGCGTCAGAGTCGTTTGGCTTGGGTTGGACCTGTCTCAGAAAGTAGGATTTGACTCTCAGTGAACAAGTGGTTTAGAGCTTGTGGTTCAGTTCAGCGTTAGCTCAGTGTTTAGATGCTAGTCAGATTGTCAGATGGTGGCACTTCTTCCTTTCCTCTTCTCAAGTGACTTACTGGAAACATGGAGGATTTTTATTTGTATCTCTTCCCCATTTGATTTTGGTTAATCTGTTTCAAACATCTGTATTACTGTCAGAGAGAGGAGTGACAACCACTCCTCTGTCAACCCCCCTGTATGACACCCCTTCCCAAGAGCTGATGCAGTATCAGGTCTCCAAGGCAAGGGTCTGTTTTCTGTCAGGACTGTCACTAGCACCATAGGAACATCTGTAACCGTAATAATCAGATTTGAAAGGTGTTTGCCTTATAAAGAAAATCTTTCATGAGACAGGTTAATGAGGTTTTCAAAGATTATGTAGCATGAAGTTAAATGTCCTCTCTCTTGAGCTACAAAGAACATGTTTCTGTGAGACTAATCCTACTACAAGATATTACTCAGCATAAGATTAGCAGAATTCACCTCTGAATCATTCAGACTGGCAGAAAGGCCTCGCCTGTGTTAGTTATAATTTGCAGCAGATTGAACGTTACCCGAAAAAGTAGTTTCCATGGGGCCAAGAAGCAGAGCTAGTGCAGTCTCTTAGTCACCAGAGAAGTACTATACAACTGTGTGCTGCTTTGAAAAGTTACTGGCTCTTTATAAAATAGTTTATGTTTCAGCTCAAATGGAAGCTAAGCACAGGATGAAGATAGCCAGCGAAATAAGTTAGGCCTAACAACATCAAGGCAAAGTATGCTGAAACAAATGGAAGCGTTGTGTTTTATTTTACGTACTCTTTGCAACAGCAGTCAGCTGACGTTTCTTGCCTCCTTCTTGTAAAGGAAAGGTGTTTTTCTCTAAACTGAAACAAAGTCATCATCAGGTACTCAGTTATGTATTTTGACAACGTAACATTATATTAGTAGGCTTACTAAAACAGTACAGTTCTCTCTGGTGTCCAAGCTTACTGGAAATTAGCCTTTAGGAGAGTCTTATTGACTCTTTTAAAAGTAGAATTTTTAATACCTGCTTTTAATCCATAATAATTTTTTCCCATAATAAGATACAGAATTCACTCTCAGAACAGACCAAAATATTTAAAATTTTAACTATCTTTTTTCTTATTCAAATTCAGGCAGTAATACCTTAATTTGGTTTTGATGAAAACAAATGGGAGTTTTACTATAGATTTCATATAGAAGCCAAGCTAGGATAACTGTTGAACTCCAACTGTGAAGAATTTTTTTACGTACATACAGCAGGCACTGGCTTCTGATATTCTTGTCTCCCCCACATGATGATATGAGAAATCTGCATATCAATGGAGAACAGAATGCTGCAGAAGAGATCTTTCTTGCCAGGTACATAAATTTTTTTTAGAGATTACCCAAGTTAAAAATGTTTTTAATATATCATGCACTTTACATTTCTCAGTTAGCTAGGCTCCTAAACTCTGAATTTATGGACTGTGTTGTAGGAAAGAGATGAGGTGACTGACACCATCAGATAGCAAAGGATTAATGGGAGTCCTTGAAAGTGACCTTTCAACTGATGCTCTAGAAATGTATCTTTCTTTTCCTTTTTTCTCTTGCCTGAATATATAGCCATTTAAGTTTCTTCTTACTTTGACAGCAGGAGAAATGAGTCTTAAGTGCCAAAAAAAAAAAAAAAAAATAGAGAAAAATGTCCTACATGCATAAAAGTAGGCTAACCTTACAGAACTGCACACTCATTTTTGAGACAAAGTCAGGTGTGGAAGTTTATAGCCTTTTTTTTTTTTTTCTTTCTTTTTTATGCTGGAAATCAAAAAGGAGCTGAGAAGGACTTGATAAAGCTGAAAATTTTTTAATCCCAATTGTTGTGTTCCAGACAAGCTGAAGTTACAGTTTAGAGTTGTTTAAGAAGACTTTCTTGAAGGCTGATGCTGTATTATAAGGCTGAACAGGTTTTGGATCAGCTGACCACCTCTGCCAAATGTTTTCAATCTTTGCTACTGAAAATGTACTTCAAGTGTGTATAACCTGATATGGAAGTTAAGAACATAGGGGTAGAGCCTTATCTTCTGCAGACCAACCTCTCCAGTCCACTGAAATACAGACCAGTAACCTTTAACCTTTTTTTTTTTTTTTTTTTTTTTTTTTTTTTTTTTTTCCCCTGCCAGTGGATGGTAAATTTTAAGTCCAGCAATTTCCTTTAAAAATATTTTCATTCATTCATGATACATTTTTATTATGTTACCTGATATGTTTCTGTCCAGAAGCTCTTGAAGTATCCTGCTTGTTACTCACACACCTAATTTAGAACCCACATTGTGTGTTGTCTCAACCTTGAGAGTTGTTACACCTTGTCAGAATGGTTGTTCATGGAGTTATTCCAGCTTTCCGCTAAAGGAAAGAAGAGTAGTCATCTTTCTACCTGAAGTCAGATAGTGAGAAAGCATTTTGTTTGTTAGGGAGGGAGGGAGGGAGGAGGAAGAAGATTCCCTGGTCGGAACAGTGAGCAGGATAAGTTTATTTGCTGGTAATCATTGTTACAGCTTGTATGTAGGTTCTAAAAAAGTTTAGAAGTTTAATAGAAGCTTAAATTGGATAGAAACACCATCACAGGTGGAAAAGTGAGCTAGAGAGAGCCACTCAGTGTCCAGTGTGTTAGCACAGGATTTGCTTTGAGGTCTGGTTCTGTTAGAACTACTAGATTGATGAAATGGAAATGCAAGCAAGTAATGGAGAGTCAGAACATGCTATTCTGGTTTGTTGCAGCATAAATAGATAGTTTTCCTCCTGTCACCAGAAGAATGCTGCTTAGCATCTCCACCACTCTGGGAACTGGGTATCCCAGGAACTGGTCATCTCAATGTTACAGGCTTTTTTCCCCATTTGGTGCCATGGTCTGATTTCTGTTATGGTGATCAGCTATCCTGCTTTAGTAGCTGCACCTGAAAAGCAGGGTGTAACAAGCAGTAATAATGATCCTGCCAGCTGTTTATTTCTGTTGTCTCAGGGTTCCAAACAGAAAATCCAAGATCAATCTTTTAAAGATAACTCTAAATAAAAAGTAATTTTAGCATATAATAATAAACAGCCTATTTTGCCATCATTATAAATACAGACTATAAACAGAAAAATGGTAAATAATGCTCATGAACCAACCTCATTAGAAAAGGGTTTTGAGATTGTAATCAGAAGAGGGGAAATTATCTTGAGATTTATATTTGTTTGAAGAGATGAGAGGTTTTCAAGCACATAGCAGTTGGGAAAACAGATTCTGGAGCATAAATGGAAAGGAGATAATTAGCATATGTCTTCTGAGAAAAAGATACCAAAAAAATTTCTCTGAAGGCCTTTTTCAAAGCCTAGTAAGTATAAACCAAAGAGCTACTGCAATAACAAGGCATCAGAAAAGATTTAATAACAAAACCAGTATCTTTAGCTGTGTGAATAAAACCCCACCCTTTCTCTTAATTTTGTAAGTCAAAATGGAGGATACTCGTGATACTAACAAAATCTTTCAAGTTTTAATATTTCTAAATGTTAAAGCTTCTTTTTTGTTGTATTTTTAAACTGTCGAGCTATTCACCTGAAGTCAAGAAAATACTCACTTACTAGACATGTCACATCTTGGGGGAGCACAGTCATCTTTCAGAGGAAATGTGAAAGCAGCAGTTTGCTGTATTTATCAGTTCTGAAGTCTGTGCTGCTGCCTCACAGCTTTTGTAGTTGCTGTTGACCAAAGCAACGTGATGTGAAGTTACGCTTTTTGTTTTGATTCTTGAGTGATACTACTACAGATAATAATAGTATGGACAAGCTGTGCTCTCAAGATGGAGTTCAAATTCACTTACATGTGGCCATTTGTCTGAAATGTCCAGAATAAAATTGATTTTTCAAAAATTATTTCCAGAATTTAAACAATCTGTATTTATCATTTAACTTTTCTAAATATGCATGCATATTTTGTGACAATACTGGATTTTCAAATTCCTTCTAGTTGTTCTTTTTTTTTCTGGAGCAAAAATATTCCAGTGACAGTTTTCTCAGATTTTTTTTTTGTCCATCTGAGATGAGCTAGAAATGGCTAGAAAGATTGTGTTGGTGACCATCCCCAAGTGAGGTTTTTACCTTTAATGCAATCTCAGCCCTAGTTAAAGTTGGTGTGTATGCTAAATTTTCTTTCAGAGTCAATGAAAGAAGGTGGGAGAGCCTCTATACATTTACAGGGGAGCCAGATGGGGGCTACCCAGTGCAGGAGTGACTGTTTTCACTCGAAGCAAAGGCAAGGGTGGTAATTGACTTAAAGCCTATGAATACAAGATCTGAGAGAGAAATAGTTGTGAGACAGCTCTTGGGAGGGTGCAGGGAAGTGGAGGTGCCTTGGTGGCACTGCTCAATGAAGTGATACTCTGCTGTTGCTTGTTCTGACTGTAATTAAGGACATCTTTTGTGCACTCCTTGTGATTAAACTACATGCCTGGCCACTACCACAACTCAGCGTGAGCTGTAGCTTTCATTTAACCTTTTCTGTGGTATTCCTTCATAGCAGGAGCCCAGTACCTGCACATCCCATAAAGCAATGTGCTGCATGCAGTGTACATAACCTTTCAGGTGGTTTCCTAGCTGTATTTATCAGGTATGCTCACTTCCCTAGTGAGCCTTGCTGCTCTTGGTAGCCTTTGGAGACTCACCTTCAGGAGTGGTGATTAGTGTAGAAAAGTAATAGCCTTACTCATGGATTTTGCAAGAGAGGGAGGCAGTATTCAGAGAAACTAGCTGTGCAGTTAGATGTTTGCAGCAGTCTGTGGTACAGTAGCTGGAGTGCTTCTGGGACTCTGTTCTGTACCTCTGAGTACTTGAATTTGGTACCTGCAAATGTGTATAAAAAACCCACATGAAATCTGACATAACCCTACTGGCACAAGAAATGCAAGGCCTTGTCATGTTTTTTAAAATTTGGTTCTCTCTTGTGCTTCATTGCATGTGGTAGCAATTCCTCTGTCTCTGTGAAACAAACCTACAGCAAGGTGCTAAATATTTACAAACTGTTCCTGTCATACAGATGACCAATAGGTTGCAACAGCCACCTGCTTTTAGCAGTTATTTTCCAATGCAGAATAGGGCATGAGAATGATAAATCAGTGGCTAAGATATGTGGTAGCATATGTACCCTAAAATGGTGTGAATGTCTGCCTTGAGAAAAGATAAATTTCCCACCATGCTGCAGAAGGCCAGCAATTAGCCCTTTCTGCCAGTGAGGCCCATTTAAATTCCTTAAAACCAGAAAGTGTTGAGTTGGTTTTGAAGTGTCTTAAGGAGAGCTCATCTGAGCCAGTCTTGTCAGCCTAGTTCACAGTGACCTCGTTGCAACTGCTGCCTCCTCAGTCAGCTTTCCCATTGAGACCAGTACCCTCCTGACATCCATTTGCCCTTATCCATACATGAGTTACCATGGGATCACTTCTGTGTAACTTCTAATACACTCTTGACCAGAGGTCTGCAGTATCAGTGGTATTCAACCCTTTATCATGCATTCAGGATCAAAAGAAACTCAGAGATACTTTATTTTAGCTTGCTAGCCTAACTGTAATTTGACCTGTTTCCTCTTTTGTTTCATAAACTGTGTTTCCATAAAATATTTTTTGACAGCCTGCTCGAAGAAGCTCTCTCCAGTATAGGAATAGCTGCTGCTGTGTGTGTCTGCATACATGTAGTTTTGTAAGACTGGATAACTTTCCTTGGTTTGCCTGGGGTATACCTATTCTAGCATGACTGAATTATCACTGTGACCTAGGAATTATGGTAAAAATAGAGGTGAGCTGTGCGAGTTTATCTCAGGGAGAGGGTTGAGAGACTAGTTGATATTCCTGGATGGATCAGTGTAAAGAACACTTATTGTATAGTCCTGAAGCCCCCTGTGTACAAAAACCCCACCAGCTGCAAGAAATCTGCAGGCTCCTGGGATGGAGCAGCCTCTGAAGAGGTACAGGCTGGGCTCTGCAGGCTGGGCACCAGCTCTGCTGAAAGGCCCTTGGGGGATAGTGGTGTAAACCCAAGCCAGAAACAGCCTCTGCTATTACTCTC